CGTTATATCCGAAACTTCGTTAAAAGCGGGTTCGTTATATACGGGCTCCACTGTAGTTAATTTAGTTAGAGTCATTCAGCATCACAGGCTATTAATGTTTTTACAGAAAACATGGAGGGTGAGTGAAAATAAAAAAATTTAGATTCTTAACTTAATGGAAGCAAAAAATTTCAAAATCTTGGTTGTAACACTGACATCATCTTCGGTTAATTTACAAATAGTTTGAACAAGTATATCTATATCACGCCTGTACTTTACTACCGTGCTAAGCAAGAACACCTTAAATCCATCAAGATTTTCCCTCGTTTTTTGGAACTTAACACTTTATGAAGTAAAAATTCCCCCATGCACCGCAAATTTTCAGGTTAAGTTCTAGATAGTATTTGCGACAGAATTTTGTGAAAACATTTTCCCAAGGTATACAAGTTTTTCTGCTATAATATATTGTTTCCAAAAAATGTAAAATGGCGTTTTTGCGTTGCACGGCAGTATAGCGCTCTGCAACTCCTGATTGCCATTAAAACCGATTCTGCAACGATTCGATATCTGCAACCGTTCAAAAGTTATGCCCATAAGTTGATTTTTCTTGAACCCCCTCTCCCCGGGAGGCTGGATCAAAAACTCCGCCATTTTTTAACTTCTGTAACCTTCCTTCACAAAAGGTGAGGGTATGACAAGATTCCGTTCTGGGTCCAATTCTTATGGGAAATGCATATACCTCTTTGTGAAAATCGGCAGAAGTTCAGATATGGATTGTTTGTGTCAATGTAAGGTGGAAAGTAATCTGTATTTCTTTCCCTCGCCTCTCAAATGTAAGAATTTGAGGAAGTAAAAACAAGAGGGAAAGAGCTCGTTGATTCGAGTTTTGCTCTTGTGCTTTCTGTCTCTCCTCCTACCCCTTTCAAAACGGAATCGCCTGTCAATTGGATGGAATTAGCCAAGTTAGGGTCATTCCATAATAGGATGATTCTGGATTGGTCTCACAGCGATTGTAATCATATAGTCAGGAAATTTTTACATTAGTATGTTATTGCAAATGATCGGTCAGTCTCATGCAGTGTTTTGATTGACTCTCTTATTTTTTCTTACAAGGTATCCAGGAAAGTATAATCAATAAACTGGGAAACTCTACCTCCAGATGTTACAAGTAACAGAAAATTTCTGTATACGGTCAACCTCCGCTAAATCGAACATGTTACCTAAAAATTGCTATAAATCAGAAAGTTTCTGACCTAAAGAGCTCAACCAATTAGTATTTCAAAGCCAATGAAGTGATTTTCAAGCTCCCATAATCCACATTCGCTGGCTTTATTTGTGAAGGTTGGTGACATGACTTTTGAGATACCCCTCAACTTGGTGAAAGATGAACAACCGCCCCCCCCTCCTTCCCCCAATAAAAAATTTTCAAAAACCTAAAGTGTCAACTCATTGTTTTTCAAAGAACAAACAATAATCCCTAAACAACTTTAAAGTGTGTTTTCCTGTTCAGAGATGATTAATAATTTCTTTTTTTTCTTGTTTTATTCGCTTTTTAGAACTTAATCATAAAACCAGAAGAGTCGAACATTGCAAACGAACATTGTATCGCAATGGTACAGAGAACGCAAATTCGATGATGAAGACATTGTAGAAGATATTCAGTTTCTCAACAAAAAATTGCAGGCATCCGTTCAAGATTTAAGGTATGTGGTAACTCTATTTTCTCTCCCACTAAAGTACTCGGCATTCTACAAGTGAGTGGGTGTATTTACTGGTCTTTCTCCCCAGTGGTTGCATACACCACATCTTGCAGGAGAACTATGGGTGGGGAGAAGTGTATTCCTGTGGTGAAGCACCTCCGAAAAAATTAACAACTGTAGTATAGCCTGTAAAATTTATGTATTTTAAATGTGGGTTCAAAAAAGTCCGGTTTGGTAACCCATGTGTGTAACAACGGTCAGTAAAGCTAGGCCGAGACAACATTTTTAGAGACGCTGCACTCTTCATCCTCCCAAAGAGTAAAAGTCATTTTGGGAATCATTAATTACTTTTTGCCTAGTGATGATTCATGAAATTGGTGAATAATCTGTTGAAACATGATTTAGATCAACCAACTTGCTTTGTAAAATGTTCAACAGGTTATTCTGAAGTTATCATCTGCTAAGAATGGAGGCAAAAAATACTACCGTGTCAAAGAAGAATGCTGTATGAGCCATCAGCCATTGCCAAAGCTCCTTTAATAGAATACAAAGAAATATGTGAATATTTTTTCTCCAATTTTTCAGAGAATTTAATCCGCAATCGGACCTTAGTTAGCTGCAAATTTTAAGAGAGAATATTCATAAATCTTCTCAAATATGAACATTTAATCTGAGGAAGTTTGGCAACTCTCGAATTTTCATACGATGTTTCTCCTTAGTACAGTAGAGTAGCTCATATATCATTAAATTGAAGTACAAAGTCTCTTAATGACATTTTCTCCACCTAAAAGAGTGATAATTCACGGTTTATTTTTGGAAGACCATTGTCTGTAGTGAGTGTGGTATTTATTATCAAGAAAGTAAATACTGTAATTTGAAATAATTTTTTTCATTTTTACTTATAGTTCTTTTCTTTTGATGCCACTGAAGTAAAATGTGGGCGACTAGAGTGGTCTCCAGTCCACCGGTCTGCTCAGTTCTGGGGAGAAAATGCAGCACGTTTGAATGAGCACAACTATGAGCTTCTTCGCTGTCTGGTCCATTTACTTGATACTTCTGAGGATGCTTTGGTGCTCAGCATTGCATCCTTTGATGTTGGTGAATACGGCCGTCACTATCAGCGAGGCAAACAGTAAGTAACAATTGACAATTTTTAAATTAAATCAAGATTTAAAAACAATTCTGCTGAGAAGTTTTGATTTACATGCGCTGACATTCTAACCGTTTGATGAATGACAACTTAGTTGGTTTTGAGGCGGACAAGGTTTTGAGTTGGAAGTTCCCAAATCTTATCAACGCTCCGAAATTCCGTTATCATTCCGAAATTTTTAAACATCGCCAATTCATGATGATACAGTAGTATTCCAATGTTACCATAACTAAACAAAACCAGAAATTTATTCAAAATCGAGGTTTATTCTAAGTAGTTTCCCTAAAAAATGTTTGTATCTGATTTTTAGTACCATAACATCTGGCTATTTTTTCTCTCTCAAAAAAGTTCTCAACTTTACATTTTGATCAATTTTCCGGAAATATTGTCATATGACATTTAATTTTGACTTATGACAGAAGTAACAGTAAATGACAGATTTTTACCACCTATCTACTGGTAAGTAGTAGAAATTGCCAAGTGTCACCCAGGATTAGATAGATTGGTCAGAGTTATAACTTCACATACAGCAAATGGATTCTGCACTAGAACTGTGACAGTCGTCACTCCTCTACCAATTGGCTAACTACTTTAGGTGTTGAAAAAATAAAACATTTTATAAACCTTCGAAGCAATTTGTTTCAGTTCAATGTTATTTTGAAAACCTCAGCAAGAGGATAGTGTGTTGAAACAACTTGACAACTGTGTTTCCATTCTTTTTCAATCTAAAATCAAAGTTTCAAATACGCGCCTTTCACTGAAAACTTCATGCTCTTCCCTTATCTATTCAAATCGAGGCGTTTCTCTCTTTTCCCACTCCTCTTTATTAGACCTGTGAGCGGCCTTTACCAACATTTTAGTGATCTGGAGAGTGATGGTGATGCTTCGGGAAATGAATAATTCATAGTGATCCCAGTACCTATTTGAGAAAATACTTCATATTTGTGGTGGACGTATTGTCTCAACGACTAAAGCCAATCATTAGTTTTGTCTTTGAAGGAACATCTCTGTGTTCTTTGAGTGCAGAACTTTAAACCCTTAACCTGGAAAATTCACTCCATCAACAAGAAATCAAGTATTCTATTCTTTCATGTGGTTTTATTATGAAACTTATTGAATACATTTCTGCAATATTTAGGAAACCCGTTGTTTAATGCCGAGCAAGCCGACGTATAATGTTGACCAGTCTTTTAATCATTTTGGCTCCCATTTTGAATCATGAGTGACACATACAGGTGATTACTACAAAGCTGCAAGGATACTGAGCATGTCATAATGCACTTGATGAAAAACTGTCTAACCTGTTTTAAGTATTAGAGATTAGGGTAAGGAAATATAAAATTATATTTAACAAAGTTCTTAGCACTTCAGCATTTATTTTAATTTCTAGCTCAATCAAAGATAATGTAACAATTAAATAATAATTTTTCTGTTATGAAAAATGAGTTTAGTTAAATATTGGTTTGTCTTTAACTAAACTATTATACACCTTAACAAAAGAGATATAAGCTAATTGTGGGGTATAGAACCTGCTAATCATGTCAACTATTTTCCTTTTTCTTTTTTGCCCAATCTCCTGCAATTCTCTTTCTTTGTAACAGAAAACTCCGCAACGGATAAATTCACCCGCCTTTTCCTGTATTAAACACATGTATTACCCTCTCTGTCCAGTAGGTGTCTCTCTGTACCAGATGAATCTTCGGGTCCCTTGAGATCCACTACAGAGAGCACTGTATTAGTTTCTCAGTAGATCCATGTTAATGGTAAACGATTATTGCATGCGAATATAAATATTTTGCTACTCGAGTCTAGGATTATACCTGTCGCACAAACCTAAGAAGTAAAATTTTCTTAATTAATTATGTCGTTGATTTTTTATTTTTGTTTTATTTCAGGGAGTATCTAGGACGCCAGTTGGAAAAAGAGCAAGGATCAACACCTACTGCAGCGAAATCTGCAGCTGGAGTATTCGCTGGTAAGACCTCCATGTAGTTTGACTGCCTCAGAAATTAATCAAATCTTGTATTTGAAGATCATCATGTGCTGCGGTCATATTGAACACTGAGATTTTTCCTGCCTATTATTATCAACACACCAGACGTGGGTAAATTTACTGATGTGGCAGTCTATTGACCTGTATTCGCCAAAAGCCTGCTAATTCGAAGTATGGATTTTGGTGCCTTCAACGAAGACTTGTTATCAGAAGTATTACCCAGACTCTTAACAATGAGTCAGTGACGCTGACTTTTTATATTGCATCATTTAAAATTACTAATTGAGGTGAATCCTTTGTAATGGGTCAGTTGCGCTGGTCACAGAAGTGCATTTTGATGGTTTAAGCTTATAGATTAGCTAAAAGTAATAAGTAAAAAATGTCCAGATGCTTAGTTCTTCCATCCAGTATTAATGGAGATATTGCCCTTTGAAAAACACAGCGTGTAATGTCATCCACTGTGGTAGCTTACACCATGGTCTCTTCCACCTTTGATTCATCAATTAGTGATGTACACATTTCGACTGGTGAAAGTCGGCAATCACATAACTCGATTTTTGGCGGTTTTGAGTTAGCTGCAGAAATGAAGTGTAGTAGATGCCCTTTACCTGCTATCATAATATTTCAGTCGAAAAAAATCTGGAAGTCACCTAAAAACGTAGAACTCAAAACACATAACTCGGCGTTAATTCCAATAACACATAACTCGTGCCGCCGCGCCACATTTCATACAACGCGCACTCTCCACGGAGTCCTCCTAACAACAACAACATTATTATTGTTTTGACAACATTCCCTTCGTCTGTTTCGTTGTCTCTGGTTTCGACTGATACTGATAAGGTGATAAGTTCAAATTTGCGGAGTGCTGTGGTTATTTAATGTATCTTTATTTCGTGACTGTGTTCCTTTTTTTAATGTAGCTGTTTGTCCTCGTTTTTCTTTTATTTTCGCTTTGCTTTCGCGATGGTCCGTCGCAGCAGGAGGCAGACAAAAAATAAGAAGTTTTGGCTGCGACTCACAGGTATGTTGAACAATTAATCCAGTTTCAAATGCCTTGGCCCTTAAGTACCTACCCAAATATAGAAACCAAAATCAGACCAAAGGTTCACATAGAATGATATACTTTGTCACTCACAGTTTGTCAGCAATTTAGGAGTTTTCCAACTGCGGGTCAATCATTGAAAGTTGATGCGAGCATGACAAGACAATGAATTGCAATATTATATCTCATGGTTAAAAGAGGGCTATGTTTTCTTGTCTTGTGCTGATTTAGATTTAATTATCATCCCGTTGAAGAATCTTGTGAAAGTCTGTTTCATTTTGTCACAGGTAAGCCAATCTTATTCAGAATGACTCAACAAGGATATCATCTGAATGCAGAATTTCTACACAACTCCGTGCTAAATAAAGTTTAAATTTTCTCTTAACGTACAATGAGATAGCCCTAAAAGTAGTGTATTGCATTTTGAGGAAAATATTAGTCAATGATTGGTGCCAAATTAGTAACACCAAGGTAACAAGCAATGTTTCTTAATTTTCCTATTGCTCTAATTTTTGGGAAAGTTGAATGTAACAAATTGCTTAGTAATAGTATGAGGATTGACTCCTTGTAGTATGATGAAGAGTCAGTGTAGATTAAGGAATGCAACAGTTCACTTTTAAAAATACTGAACTGGAATATGAGACTTTTGAATGTTGGTCTGTGCCTTTGTGCAAGTGTCGATGGTTCACAGACACGTATACTGATAGTGCCACAACATTCCCTCTGATACTTAAGTTTCTCATTTTGGAAAATAACCATAGAAATGTTTTTGATGGAACTAGTAGTACTTCCTCAATAAGGGCTGAGTTACTTACCTGTACTTTTTATTCTACCATATTAGTAAACTTGTCAATATTTTTGCTCAAAACTTCAGAGAGATTTCTTCACTAGTGCCCTCGCAGTCTTATTTGATCATTGTGGGTCTTGCTCAGTTTGTCATTTTTCTGGCTGTTCATCCTCACACTATTTTAAAAGGACCTTTGTTTCTCTAGACAATTTGACAGTAGAAGTGTCTAATCTTTTCTCTTTTCTGAATTTAGGCTCAAGTCATGGAAGCCCTACTTAAAGCGATTCGTCTTTTGATAACCGTTTACCATGTGCAGCCGAGGAATTTCTCCCAGAAGTAGACACTTGTAAGTTTTTATTCATTACCTTCCATTTCAGAAGTACTTTTGCAAATTCACATTGAAGATTGAAAAAATGTCTTAAAACTTAACAAAGTTATACCAGGGCCAAAGAGATGTTACTTCAGCATGTTTCATTTGGAAAGTTCGTAGTTCTACAAATTTATGATGAATGTAGGAAGTGATTCATTCCAATTTTCATTCTTGCCAATTATCAGCTGAATTGGGGGGGGGGGGGGGGATGAATAACAAGAGATATCGACGGAGAAACTCCTGAACGACATTATCTCAATTGTGGTGTTTCAAAATCTTTGCCTCCATTTTCATTATTGAAGCAAGACAAATCAACATTATTGCTTGAGAAGCCCACAGAATTTTCTTTATACAGAGCGGAAAAATCACGAAACTTGTGGACCATCATTGGAAAAAACTACCTACCTACAATACAGGTCTTCTTCAGTTAACTATTTTTCTGGCTGTCCATCCTCACATTATTTTAAAAGGACCTTTTTTACTTGCGGACAATTTGACCGTAGAAGTATCTAATCTTTTCTCTTTTCTTAATTTAGGCTCGGGTCATGGAAACCCTTCATCCTTTGATTACCTTTCAGCGCCTTCATGTGTACCGGAGGAATTTCTTATAGAAGTAGACACGTAAGTTTTTATTTCATTTCCTCTCTCGTTGGGAGTACTTATGCAAATAATTATGCAAGAAGAACAAATCAACATTATTGCTTGAGAATCTCTCAGAATTGTCTTCATACAGAGTGAAAAAATCACCGAGATTCTTTTCCAAAAAAGCTACTGCCTGTGATCAAATACTGGTCCATTTTTCTCGAAAAACACAGGAAATACAAAATTTAATGGATTCTTCTGTCCAAAAATATTTATAGTTCTATTATCTGCTGTAAAATTTACCGAGTGATGTTATTGAAGAAAGTCAAGTCTCAAATTTTTGAAATTTCATGAGGCTGTGAAATATTCCAAAAGTATAAAACTTATCTTGACATTGCTGACAAAGAACTACTGGACTTGAGATCCAAAGTGGAAGACCAGGTAAACAAAGTGATAAGATTTGCCTGACATCCCAACAAAATGATGTGGCACGATAAGTACATAGTCCCAAAAAGTAGAGTCAGAGCCTGCAAGACCCTCTTTATAGCAGTTTTTACATTTGCGGCAGAGACTAGAGCTGAGACAAAGTTAACCTATCAACAATTTTGCTCAATTAAGACGAAAGTTTAAAGGAAAATATTGGGTGTTACATTTTTGGATTGGTAGACTAGCAAGTCCATCATCGATACTAATGACAAGCAAGATGTTGCAAAGCAAAGCAGCATAAGGAGGAAGATGCAGTCAGAGCACGTTGACCGAATGGATAAAAAGGATTAGCAAAAATTGGTATGAACAGACAAATTTTAGGAAAAACATCACCAGGACGATCGCCCAAAAGATGGGCACAAAGTTAACTCTAGATAATTGAATGTTTTTATGGCTGTTATTGTTTTTATTCTCTTATTAAATCTTTTATATTTAGACTTCATTTTACAATTTGGAACTATAAATTCTAGCCCGGTTTAAAAACAACGTATGTGCCATTAGTTTCCCTATGCACATAAGTGTTTTTCCAGAAGAGCCAAAACTTATACTTCCAAATTGCAAAATGCAGTCCATTTATTGCTGCTTTATATGTGCTCTATTCTTCAGCGGTTGACTGATAAAACTGTGTCCTGGTCGTCGTCATTGGCTGAGGAAATAATATTATGAAGGGCTGAGCATGCAACCTGCACTCGAACATATCAAATGCTTTAACATCTTTTTTTTTTCCTCCTGCATTTAAGTCACTCTAAGTTCCTTCTGTGTTTTCCAAACACCTCTCAATTTTCTTGCAAGACAAAAGGTTGATGGTAAAATTAACTGAATTGAAAAATTACAATTTACACTCATGATTATCAATTTTAATCTTTTTTTTTCCTCTTTTTCTTGTACACTTATGACGTGTGAAGGTCTGACTTCTGTTGAAAGCATTAAGGTAAAAGTTTTCTCGATAAATTCCTCATTGTCAGCTATGATAGAGAATCAAGTGTCGAATTGTATCTTTCATACATTTCAAATCTCTCATGAAATTTGACCATCTTATTTCTTATGAAAAGTAACAATACTGTTCATATTTTTTGAAAGTGAAGAATGGAACTTCAGTAATTATTACTGCCTGAAATTGAATAAAATGTAATACACTTGCACTTTGATGTTATTCAGATCTGTTCCAAGGAGACATTGCAGAGGGAGAAGGAGATGACTCTGATTTTCAATTACATTTATCTGGAGAGAGTGCTGAAGAAAACCAGCATCAGTGTGAGTACCTTCCTTCATTAAATTATTTTTTATTTAATTTTTTTTTGGTTGCAACGAGGCCTGCTGATATCAATTTTTTGGGAAACTTTTAAAAAAATACCAACAGTCCACTTCTATACGAAAGAGATCTAGATAAAGCAGCTACGTGCAGTCTGAGTATGCAAGGAAAGCTTTACTTGCACCATAATTTTCCGGAGAAAGGAGACAATTATACCCATGTTTGTTTTATGTTTTCTAAATATTATTGACATAGAGAATAGATTGCTTTGGGCTGAAGGGAGAGCCGCTATTTAAACAGATGATTAAGAAGAGAGACGTGTACAGTAATCAAAGAGGCTAAGGGATTCAATGCTCAATTGCAGCTTGCTTCCCTGAGCATATTATTTTATAGTAATTTAGCCACCCTTAATCTTCATGAAGGAAAATTTAAATACACTTTTTCAGGTTGAATTATGATTTGAAGACTTATTATTTTTCCTAAAAACTATTTTTCCTACATCGATGAAATTCAATGTGAGTTTGCTGTATATTTACGCCCTCTGCTACTCCTCATAATGGAGAATATAAAATTGAAAAGAGTTTTGTGTTCCAACATATTTTCATTACTAAAATGTAGATTGTTAGAATCCAGCTGCTTATTATTTCCTGTCAGAGAGTAGCATTTAATGGTACACTTGATCTCACATTCAAATTTTTGAAAAAAAAGGGCACTTATTTTGAAAGCAAATTATTTTCATCTCATGCTGTAACTATTAAAAGAAAAGTCTTTAAATCAGCATCCATGTGATTTTTCTTTTCAGTGCTTAAATTATTTGTTCTGTAATAAAGCTTATTAATGGCGGTTAGTCTGTGAAACAAACGAAAATTACTATGTAATTGTTCTTTTTCTCATGAATGGGTAGGTGAGGTAAGAATGAGGGTGAATATTGTTTATGTTTCATTTCATCAAATTTATGTTTTGAAATTTTCCCGCAAAATTTTGGAAAATGAATTTGAACAATAAGTAGAAATCTCTGTATATTGGTTTGTAACTTTATCTTGTTACATTTAACTTCAGTGAAGAAAAAGTACAATACCTGTTTCGCAAAATTCCTCTGATTTTTTGGTTCAATTAAAAATATTCCGCAAAAATCTCTTTCAGAAGTATTAGGTAGCTAATTTTTTTTTTTTATTATTATTTTTTTAAATCAGAGAAAAATGGTCTTTAGAGTCTTACTGTCTTACCATTGATTTCCTGTTTTCCAGACTATTTTGAGATGACTCTCATCAGTAGAATATTTTGTCAGTAATAAGTACTTAATGGTCTCTGTCTCTGTCTTTTATTTAGGTTTGCCCAAGGAAGGACCGCTTCAACAAGGCCATCCGCATATTTTAAGGCCATCTAACAGTGGTAAGTTACCTATTGCTTAGCTTCAAGGAAGTTGAATTTCAAATGGGTTACTTGTTGGATACAGAATTGCGCTTTGATGATTTAGGCTTATAAATTAGCAAAAAATAATCAGATTTGTGCAAATGCTGCAGTCTCTATGACAAATTTAAATGGAGGTATCGTTTATTAGAAAACATGGCGTAAATCTATGTTTTGCGAGGAGTAAGCAATGAAAATATGCGTATCACTGATTATTGGAATGACGGTGGAAGAAAACATGGATCCCTACCCTGCCCGGAGGGTGGATCATTACCATGGCGGAAGACATTCTTTGCCATGTTTCTTGAAAAAGGGATATCTCTGTTAAAATTGGATGTAGAAATTTAGCATTTGGACAGATTTCATCAACTTCTGCTAATCTGTATATTAATACCATCAGAAAACGCTTCTGTGATTAGAGCAACTGCCCCATCCATTAATTGAAGGCTTTTTTAAAAATGTGCACACTCATACTAGTGTAACACTGACATTTATTTATTTTTTGCAGTATGTATTAGTCTCGTCAACTACTCTTTCTCTTCCACCCTATCCGATAACTCAGAGAGCAATAAAGAAAACTTGGAGCATGATTTCTTCAACCTAAGGGAAACGAAAACCCGAAGCAAAAAACCACGCCCTGAAATCTGGCAAAAGAATATGCAGAAGTCCAAAAGAATGCTAGGTGACAGTTATGTTAGCAGGCAAAGGAAAAAAGGTTGCCCAGCTCGATTAATCAAACAACGTGAGAAAAAATTAGGGCCTAGGTGCATATCCAAGATGTGCAAGACGAGTCAAAAAAGGCACTGTTACCTATGTACAGAGACCACAAGGCCTGTCATATTTGAAGACTTCTGGGCCCTTCCTTGGGAGGCAAAACAAATTTTTGGGTAAATGTGAACAAACCCAAAGAGAGGCAACCCGGAGTCTCCAAAAGGAAAAACTCGTTATCATTATTTTTTAGATCTCAATGGTAGAAGTTTGCAAATCATTTTTTTGCTCCACTCTTTCTTTAAAAGAATGGCAAGTCCATGCATGGGCAAAAAAAAAATTCTTGCTCCTTAATGATAACATGGATGAAAACTTAGAGAATCTAAATAGTGACGAGGAAGTAGTAGATGACATGAGTGAGGACGAAATCACAGAGCAAATCAGTGAAAGGAGACAGTTTCTTTTAAATTGGTTCGAACTCCTACCAAAATTACCATCTCATTATTGCCGACGAGAAAGAAACAAACTTTATTTAGAGGGAAATTGGCAAAGCAAGGTGCAGTTGTATGAGGTATACAAAAGTTATGCTACAGAAAAAAATAAGCCTTTTGTTAGTAGAACATTTTTTTGCAACTTATTTGAGGAACTGGATTTATCTTTATACCTTCCGAAAAAAGACCAATGTGACACCTGTGTCGGCCATAAAGTAGGTAATGTAGAACAGGAAGCGTATGAACGACACATCCTAGAGAAAGACAGAGCGAGGATGGAGAAGGAAGTTGACAAAAATCTAGCGTTACAGAACAAAATTATATGTTTAGCAGTAGATATGGAGGCGGTAAAAGCCTCACCATTAACAAAGTCTAGTGCTATGTACTACTGTACTAAATTGCTTACTCACAACTACACAGTGTTTAATTTAAGTAACCGTAACTGCATGTGCTATTGGTTTAACGAGACGGAGGCAGACTTGAGTGCAAATACGTACGCCTCCTGCCTTAGCGATTTTTTAACAACTAATTGTATTTCTGAAGACAAAAAGCTGGTTACAATTTACAGTGACAATTGTTGCAATCAAAATAAAAATCAAGTAGTTGCAAACCCCTTATTGCATAATTCACTCAAACTGGGGATAGAAATTACCCAAAAGTATCTGGAAAAAGGACACACGCAGATGGAGTGTGACAGTGTCCATGCTGCCATTGAGAGGCGTTTGAAAATTAAAGATATATTTGTCCCCCACGATTACGTGAAATGTACCATAGAAGCTAGAAGCAAACCATTTCCTTATGAGGCTAAATATCTAGAGCACTCCTTTATTTTAGATTATTTGCAGTTGCATTATTTTGATTCCATTTGCCCTGGTCAAAAAAAAAAGGTGACCCTATTGTCAATGACCTTAAATGTCTTAAATACTGCCCCAATGGCAAAATTATGTAAAAACTGAACTTTGATGATCCTTATCTTGAAATCCCACGGAAGCCTGATTCCATTGCCTTAAAGTGTGACCCTACTAGATTATACTCTAAACGACTACCAATTCAAGAGTTGAAGGCAGTCATTCTACGAGATTACCATTCATTTTATGATGATCTTCCAGTTGTTGGTGTAAAAGAATAGAGTAGTAACTCCCAGTCTTATTTATCGTCATGTTTAGACATTGGAAAATTTTGCGTATATTTTCCCCCGATTTCACGGTTATTTTTCCCGAATTTCGATGTTATTTTTGCTGATTTTGTCATAATTTTTGTAGCGCTTTTTGCGTTTGACAGCTTAAAACAAAGCTTTTAATTTTATTTAACGAGCCATCGCTCCGTCTCTCTCTCTCTAATCCTATTTTACAGAAGAAGCACTTTATTTTCCATTAAAAATATCTATTACTAACTTTTTTAAAATACTTTTTATTTATATATATTCGTTTTTTTTATTTCTTTAGTGACATCAATTAATTTTTGATGAGATGCTGATGCAACTTAACATGATCAAACATGATCACATGTTAAAATTATTTGATGTTATGTTTGTGCCCCGGTTGCCGCCATTTCTTTCATCGGTATTTTGATGCCATTGGCGAAGAATATTCTGTGAATATTTTTAGCAACATCATTAATTTGTTTTTTGTCCAGAAAATAAATTGGGAGCAGAGGTTCTGAAATGCTCAATTAAGATAATAGCTAGGGAATTTTACAGTCAACATGTTAAAATGTATCCAGGCCTCGAGTGATGGTACCATTTTTTCATCGTTTGTTGTCTTCTTATTTGTGTTTGTGTATTCAATGTCAATCAATCAATGCAATTTTGTCTTTACAGGATGTTAGCTGATATTGATGGTT